GCTTAAAGTGTTCGCCGGACAGTGTTCGATGTTCGCCCGAACACGTTCATGTTCGGGCCGCTGCTGCAATTTTCCCCTAGACGAACACGAACGTGTTCAGGGTTCGCCCGAACACGCCTTCATAGGCGAACGGCGAACACTTGTTTTTGCTTAAGGTGTTCACCGAACCGAACAGTGTTCGGTTCGCCGAACAAGGGTGTTCGTGCATGGGCGAACGCGAACACGTTCGTGTTTGCCTCTTGCTCATCCCTAGTCTGAGCCCACCAACTAGTCGCCTTGCTGCAGATCTCTGGCAAACTTGCTGTAGAACCGACCTACCATAGGCCGCCCCCCAGGCCCTGGGTTAGCGGGCTAGCTCAGCCCAGCGCCAGCCCGTGGTCATGCCTAGCATGTATGCTTGTTCTCAAATCAAGTTGACTTGGTGTCGCCATCGCAGGCCTTCTAATTTCTGAACATGTGCGAAGTCACGTTGGCTCTCTTTCGTATTCCCTTCATGATACTCACAACCTCTCGAGGTTGCTCATGTCGCTGATGGTGGATGGAAAAGACCCACTCAGAGAATTGTCGTGAAGAAACCTAATGATACAACATATACAGGGTGTATGGGCGCAAAGGAAGATTGAATATAGCAAGGAAACAATACCTCAATTTATGGACACATGAGTGTGGCTCCATATAAAGTGGATACGATCAAACCATTGCTACAGAGCGCATGATAAGGATGCCATGAAACTCATCAAAAAAATAGAACTGAACTAGAATGTAGGAGAGGGATGAGTGAACATGACATGCTGATATGTGATTTGTGATACAAGCTACCTACTCTAAAAGATGCTTGATTGTGAGCACAACACAAAGAAGCTGCTGAATTTTACCATCGACATTATTCCACAACGCTTCAAGAAACAATGGTGAATGATGTGCCGGGGTAGCCGAACGTTAGCATTTTGGACAGATTGACCAACCCTTTATATTATTGTCAATGTCCATAAAAATGAACTCTGGAAGCTCAGTTACGGGGCCTCAGAACCTTGCCCATGTATCTTACCGCCAGGATATTTCGCGACCATATAGTGAGGCTAATGTGGAGAGATTCGCAGCAAATCCTGCTCACCACTGTGAGTGGCGAGCTGGACCGGCTCACAACAGTGACAGGTCGCTGTGGGCACACAGGAGGAATGACTGCATTCTCTCTCTGCCAGTTCAGGGGCACCTTCCATCCCCAATGGATCTCAAACAGCTGTGCATGCACAGTGCTTAAAACGGCATACTCCATCGCATAATGTCTTCACTGTCTGCATTTGAACAAATTGATGAGAAACTCGAAGCAAATCCAAAGCTGAAATGCAAGATTCACCCGAAGCAGTAAAACACAAAAACCGTGTAAGCAATGCCTGCTTGTCTACAATGAACAAGCCACGAGCTTGGTCGGCTGCCCGACTGGCTCATCAGTGCACCGGCTCATGGCAATTTGAACCAAGCCAGCTTGTCTTAGACCTATGCTCGTGCCTACTGTTGATGGAAAAGGAGTGTTGGCCCCGCCCTCGCTTGAGCAACGCCGACGACTTGGTCGGATGTACTGGAGAAGCTGCTCAACGGGCTTCGACGAGCTGCAGGGGACCGCTGTGGCGCTGCTGTTGACCAGAGAGCTCGACAGCTGCAGTTGACTGGGCTGGGCGACTGGTGGGCCGTCGATCAGGACGGGCAGTTCGACCGGGAGGCGGACGGAGCTGTCCGTCGACCTGACAAGTGAGCAGTGGTCGACAAGATGAGCTCGGCGTCAACCGCTGACAATTCTCGTCGACGGAAGGGGTCCGTCGACCAAAGGGTAGCTCGAGAGGAGCTGTGGTCGGCTAGAGGCACCTGGTGACCAACCAGAGGCACCTGGTGGTTGACCAGAGGCACCTGGTGGTCGACCAGAGCAGGTGGTGGTCGACCAGGTCGACCGGGTAACCTACTCGACGAGTTCTGCGGAGGCACGCGAACGTCGTCGAGGTTGCGATGGCGAAGGCGACTTCGGGCTGGTAACCCAAAGTCGATGTGGCTCGTTAGGCGCAGACAACAGCCGGTGGATGCACATCGAGGCGAGTCGGGCCACTCGTTTGCGCGCACCTGCGAGCATACGCACTGCTGTCTTCTACGGGGCAACGCTGGACAGCCGCTCTGCTGCAGCCTTCGCACGCCGTCGACCTGCTATATTGGCAGGTCGCCTTCGGCAGTGCTGGCACGGCTCCTCTACGCAACGCTGGCAGGCGGTCGACTATGCAGTGCTAACGGTCGACCAGGCTAGCTGCAGAGTTGCTAATTGTGTGATGTAGTCATTGTTGTCATTGCTTGTTGAATCAACTCTGTAATTTCGACTTTGCTAGTGGAAACTCTTGCCGAATTCTCCTGTTAATGAGCAAGCGCTAAGGAACTAAGCAGAGCTACGATCACTCCTAGTAGTTCGTGCCAGCCCCCGTAGTCTAGCTCACCCACGTTGTAGAGTGACTCTCCGCACCTACTCTTTCATGCCTTCCCTGAACGCATTTTTTATGGTGAGAAAAGCTGATAGTAGCAAACTTGGTCCCTTCATCATGAGGCTTCCTAGGATTATGGTAGACCAAGCTCGGTTCAAGTCAAACAAACGAGCCATGGGTATCAAAGCGAGAATAATGCCCAGCGCAAACCCTCTCAAGTCCATCTCGATAATGTCTAGCCATGTAGGCATAAACCATACTGGCCTAGTTTCAGCTCTTGCTCTCATTAGTTTTTGAAGAAAGTGGTTCGGTGAACTTAGGGCACGATAGGAAGAAGAAATCTCCTTAGCAAGAAAATGGTACAAGTCTTACAAACTAGAGCAAGGTCCTTGTCAAGGATAATCCCTAGTGAAGTGGGAAGCCACATATATGTGGCTGAAATCTTGAGGCTAGCTGCAGCACCTCAATGCTGAGGGCTAGGCTAGCCAACCTTGCCAAGCTAGCAAGTGAGGCCACATGTTGCACATGTGGGCCAGGCTGGAACAACAGCCCACATGACAGCATATGGCACACCATAGAGGCCAGCAAGGTGAGTGTGGGATGAGTGGACAGGTGGCAATGCCAACTGTGACCACACTTCACTGTGGTGGAGTGTGGTAGAGTGTGGACATGTAATGTGGAGCATAATGAGAATGGAACCTGCAGCTACTGAGAATTGAACCCACAACCTCTAAGACCACAGGTGAGAATCTACCCTCTGGGACATATTTGCTGCACAACACCCCCCCTCAAGGATGTCCCCGGGGTAGGGTTCTTCAAGCGGAGACATGGGTGAGACCGAGAAGACCACGGATGCGAAGAAAAGGGTCACGGGGCAAAGGTTTGGTGCCAATGTCAGCGAGGTTGTCTTGAGTAGGAACATAGTGAAGGGTGACGGAGTGGTCGGCGACATGATCACGAATGAAATGGTGCTTGATGTCGATGTGTTTGGCCTTGGGATGAAAGACGCCGTCGTCCTTGACCAGAATGATGGCGCTGCTGTTGTCACACGAGATGCGGGTGGGGCCGGGTGGGGGAAGTCCAAGTGCAGTAAGGAGGGATCGAAGCCATAAGGCCTCATGCACCGCGGTGCCCAGAGAATAGTATTCAGCTTCACATGAGGAGGTAGCGACGACAGCTTGACGTTTGGACTGCCAAGAGATGAGTGACGGACCGAGGAAGAACAAGTAGCTCGTAACGGAGCGTCGGAGCTCGCCCTCCGGACCCCAAAAGGCGTCACACCACCCATGGAGTTCAAGGGTGTTGGGAATGCCGCCAAGGAGAAGCCCGAGTGAGGTAGTCCCTTTCAAGTAGCGAGCAACGCGTTTGGCAGCCGAGACGTGAGGAGTAGACCAATCATGAAGGTGACGAGCAAGAACTCCAGCGCTATATTCGAGGTCGCGACGGGAACCCACCATGGCATACATGATGGATCCGACAAACGAGGTGTAAGGAAAGGAGGAGGAGTGTGGTGAGGAAGTCACGGGCGGCTGAAACTTGGTGTCCATGGGGGTGGCAGCAGGGTTAAGTGGTGTGAATGAGTAGGTGTCTAAGATGGAGGTGATGAATTTGGATTGATGAAGGTGGAGAGTGCGTGAGGTCCGATCACGAGTGATGTGAAGGCCAAGGTAGTAGGAAAGAGGACCGAGGTCACGAAGCTTGAAGCGAGATGAAAGGGCACGCTTGAATGAGGAGAGAAGAGAAGAGGAGGAGGAAAGAATGATGAGGTCGTCAACATAGACGAGAAGCATGAAGAAAGATGCAGCTGTAGGCCGATAAGGAGATTGTGGAGTAGCAATGAAGAGGCCGGGGTCCGCATGGGCAGCAAAAAGGTGAAATGCAGCAAGCTCTTCACGAAGTTTGCGGTACCAGCACCGCGGCGCTTGCTTCAACCCGTACAACGGTTTGTGCAAGAGACAAACTTGCTCAACACCATGGACCGCCGGAAGCTCATAACCGGGAGGCTGCATCATGTAGAGAATTTCATCAAGAGTGCCGTTGAGGAAGGCGTTGGAAATGTCCAGCTGATGGACTTCCAGGTCGAAAGCGGCAGCAATGGTGAGGAAAAGGCGGAGGGTGGCGAAGCGAACGGTAGGAGCAAAGGTGTCATGGAAATCAACATCGTCGCGTTGTTTGAAACCTTTAACAACAAGGCGGGCCTTGCGGCGTTCAATAGAACCATCAGCATGCTCCTTGACCTTAAAAATCCATTTGCATGGAATCGGTTTGCACTTGGGTGGTCGAGGAACAACGCTGTAAGTGTCATTAGCGTGCAGGGCAGCGAGTTCCGCATCAGCAGCCTTGATCCATTCAGCAGCATCAGGGCCGGTGCGGGCCTCATGAATGTTTTGAGGTTCGTAATGATGATGAAGGGCGGCATTAGCGGAGGTCTTGGAAAGAGGAGGAAGGGTGAAGTCAATGGGTTCAGAAGGAGAGGGTAGGACCTTGAGCAGTGAGAAAAGTGAAGGATTGGAAGGAGCTGGAGGGGATGGTGGTGAGGAACTAGAGGTGCAAGGGGGAGGACGAGCTGAAGAAGGAGAGGAGAGGGATGGAAGGCGGAAGTCTTGCAGCGTCGAGGGCAGAGGAAGGTTTGAAAACAAAGGAGGAGAAGAGGGTGCTGGTGCTGGCAGATTTGGAGATGGTGGGAGGAGGGTGGTGGAAGAGGTCATGGGAGGTGAACGAGAGGGAGGGGAGGTTGGGTCTGAGAGGGAAGGGGGTGGAGGAGGAGGCGGAGAGGATGATATGGGTGGTGGAGATGACGATGGAGGTTCTCGAGGGTCATCCGAAGGTGGCGAAGAGGGCTCCATGAAGATGACATCACGAGAAAGTGTGACACGGTGCTGAGTTGGGATATAGATACGATAAGCTTTGGTGCCGTCAAGATGACCATACCCAACCATGACGCCAGCCGTGCTTCGGTCGTCGAGTTTGGAGCGGCGTTGCGGAGGAACGAGGACTGAAACGGGTGAACCGAAGATGCGGAGGTGTGATACGTCCGGACGTGCACCGGTCCATAGTTCTATGGGAGTCTTGGAAGCTGAACCACCCCGACTAATAGCATGATTTCGGAGATAGGCAGCAGTGAGAGCGGCTTCACCCCACCATCCTTTGTCCATGTGTGCGTCATGAAGCATGGAACGGACCATCTCAAGTATAGTCCGATTGGCGCGTTCAGCAACTCCATTTTGTTCGGGTGTGTACGGCGTAGAGCGGTGTCGAGCGATGCCATGAGCTTTAAGGAATGAAGTGAAGGCCTCGGAATTGAACTCCAAGGCACCATCGGAGCGAAACGCTTTGATGGTCCTCGGGGAATGCATATTGTGCACCCGAGTGACGTAAGCTTTGAAGCACGACAATGCCTCTGAACGATGGCGTAGGAGATACACGGTAATGTGGCGGGAATAGTCGTCGATGAAGGTGAGAAGGTAGCGAGCGCCTCCAATGGTAGTTCCATATGAAAACGGTCCAGCAATATCCGAATGAATGAATTGGAGCGGTGCTGTGGTGCGAGAATGGGACACGCCAAATGGTTGACGCGTTTGTTTCCCACGATAGCACGAGATGCATTCAGGAATTGAGGAGGAGGAGAGGTTAAGACCGGTGACCAGCTGCTGCCGATGAAGTGTTGACAAGTCCCGCATGTTAAGATGCCCGAAACGGCGATGCCAAAGGTATGAGGAGGTGGTGGAGACTGGACATGCCGATGGGTTGATGGGGGGGGCGGCACTACTCCCATGATGCAGCTGAAGATAAAACAGATTGTTGCGGGTAAAGCCCTCACCAATAAGAGCCTCATCAGTCTTGAGCTCAACCCGCCCAGCAATGGGGAAGGAAACGGCAATGCCGGCAGCTCCAAGTGCACGAACTGAGAGCAGATTGTGAACCGATGAAGGGAGAAACAGAACATTGTCTAGCTGGATGGTGGTTTCCGAGGTTTGGGAACGAAGAGTAGCCACCACCGTGCCGACTCCCAAGACCTTGTAAGTCTCTCCGCCACCAAAGCGAACGATAATATCATCAGTTGGCTGCTGGAGAGATGAAAACAGCGAGCGATCGGAGCAGATATGGGAAGATGCGCCGCTGTCCACCAGCCAGGAAGACGTCCGGACCAGGTTTGATGAAGAGGCCGTGAATGCCGATGCGTAGGGAGCACCATAAGGGAAGAGGAGGAGGAGGATGGTGAAGATGAAGAGAGTAGCGACGAGAGGAGTCCAGGTGGGGAGGATGGAGCCGTGGCTGGTGCTGAAAGCAATGTCAACGTACCGGGAATCAGGTACGGACTGAGAGGCTGATGGGGCAGGAGGTGTTGTGGAGGTCGAAGGGATGTCGGCGGAGGAGCTTGTTGACACATGCACCGAAGGCTGGATGACAGATTTCTCCCGTCGAGAGCGTTCTTCGATCTCTTTCTTCTTCTTCAACTTGAAGCATTCGTCAATAGTGTGTCCGGTTTTCTTGCAGTAGCGGCAAGTAGGGGACTGGCGGGAACCGGAGCGAATAGGGTGGGAGGGCAGAGATCACACGAGCACCCGTGCCTAGCCCGTAGTCTAGCCCCCGTTGCAGAAGTTATCTCCGCAGGGTCTCGGGTCAAAGTCGACCTAAGGTCCGACCCGTCTGACCCGACCCGACCCGACCCGAAATTCAACATCAGGTCGGGTTTTTGCCCGAGCCGGACAGACTCGACCCGGCTGGGCCAGGACATTGGAAGTCCTGAGCCGACCTGCCCAAAACCTGGGTTGGTTCGGGGCCTTTCGCTCATGCCTAGCCGAAATCGGGCAGCCGATGGCCCCGCGGACCACGATTGCCCGGCCCGCCCCGAAACAACAGCCCAATTTAGAGGTTCGGCCCAGGGCAGTTTCGGGGCAGGGCCGACCCGGCAGGGCCCAGCCCGCCCCCGTGCTCAACCCTACTGTACAGCACCACACTTACTTGTCATAGAATACAGGGGTGTAATGTTAACCTGAACCACATCTACTGAGGTTTCAGTTCAAAGGTTGGTGGCTCTGCTAGATGTTGGGAAAATTAGGCTGCCTTTTGCTTGCCTAGTCTGCTTTTCAGGTTAAGAGGAGGAGATGTAGCAATCATGGCACGTAGAGAACGAGTTGTTAGCCTTCAGCAGAGACGAGCGTCTGTGCCAAAGGGGTAGACGTATACGCAGGCATTTATCGAAGTGGGTTGGACACGGAAGGAGGTAAAACCAGTTAGGAAGGATGTAATGGAAACTGTTCTTTCTCCTAACCATTTTCACCCTACGAAATATTCGACTAAAAACTCTCATAGGTAGGTTCACCATAACCTGGCAGGGACATCATTCTTCTCGTGACAAGCTATTCTCGTGACAAGGCCATTGTACGATGATGTTCACCACCTGCTCATCACGGGTTGGTCGCATTTACGTAGGCCAATGCTCGTGCTGCATATGCGCATCTCTCCATGTTCACAGTCATGTGTGCATGCTCCCACTCATACTCACAAATCGGTCATCCTGTTCAAGGCACTGATGGAATCTGGAATGGATCCGGTTAATTGTTCGGATAATATCCAACTGGTGGACAGTGGAATGAAAAGGGTGGGGAACATGATAATTTTGTTATGAAACGGGATCAAGAGTAAAATAAAATGAGAGATTGGTGGATCCATCAAGGTGGTGTCGGTACTATTTGAGAAGGAGAGGCCCATGCAACCCACAAGTTGTCCACCTGCGCCTGCATGCATGGAGATGATAGAGACCTGGGAGGTGCATTTGGGTAGCATTCTACTGCACTGAACTCCTTTCAATATGAACCACGCAACGGAAAACAGAGGGAAACAGAGAAGGGAAGGGGGATGATAAGTTAGGTTAGACAACATTAACACCTTATACTGCCTCCAAATGTCTACCTTTCGTTACTGTGTTTACAAAGGGACGTTTTTGTTCTGCGGTGACATTTCGCCACATTTCTGTGTAAAATTCGTCCCCATGGCACGTAGCAAACCCTTTAGCAGGCCCCCAACACACTCATTGCGAACATTTCCACACCTCTCATATGCACCACCACAACCTCCCTCCTTCCACTCACCCATTTTCTCTTCTTTGTTGACATTGTGCACAGACCAGCTGCAATTACAACAGTTGCCATTCCCCTTGGCATGCCAACTAGTTTTCTGACTTGGGCATGATAGAACTACTAGAACTGTGCCTGTCCTGCTCTCTCTGCCCCTCTATAAAACCCCTGATTCTCCTTCGATAAAACATAGAAGATGTTCCTCAATCATGTTTAAAGATAGATTCTAACCTTAACAAAACTTTGAACATGACTATAACATGGAATGATTACAAAGGGTCCACGAAAGCAGACAGTGGGTTTGGATGAGAGGAGGACCGTGGGATGAACGGTTCAAGTAGCAAGGGAGTGCAAGTGAAGAACAAAGAAACACACAAAGGCATCCAGCGAATCCATGGTCCGCAAGGGCTCAATCAGCGAATGCAAGTACCTGCAGCTGCACCTGTTGCCATACCACTCGACATGCCAACTCGTGCTCTGACTTATGCATGGTAGAACTACTTAAGCTTTGCCTGCCCTGCTCTCTTCCTCGTAGGACCCCATCTTTAAAGTGATTCAAACGTACAACCGATTCAGCGTGGAAAATTGTTCCAGAATAAACATCGAACATGTTCACTTGCCCGATGAACCTTAATTCTTAATCCTGACGAGTTAACATGGTACCATCCTAACATGCCTTCAAGAACAGTAGGACCATCCTAATGGGCTCATCAAAGCAGACAGTCAGTTTGGAAGAGGGAGGGACAATGGCAAGGGCAGTTAAGGAAGAAAGGGAATGCAAGAGAAATACAAAGAAACACGCAGATTGCATGGCCGGCAAGGGTTAGCTCTCCAAAATGCAACAAGGGAGTGCAAACGCAGAGCACGCAGAATGGTGGAGGGAGGGAGGGAAGATGCAGGCACTCAAGTCAAGTCCAGCAAGAGTTGGTTCACACATGGGGGATGCAAGACCAGCTAGAGTTGGTGCTCTCACATGTCTGTCACCATGCCTTGGGCATCGCAGGTCACAACAGAGGCCCAGCTGCAGTCCCCCCCAGCCACCCACCCAGAGAAATTCTGCCCCCACGCTTGCTGCAAGTCCTGCAGGACTCGCACTGGTGGCAAATGGTGGGGGAGAGGGGGGCAGGAGGGCAAGAGAAGGATAGAAGCTGGGGCAGGGAAGAGAGGAGGGATAAATTGGCTCTCATCACCTGCGTGTTGCACCCTTCTCTTCCTCCCTCACTCATCACCCTGTGCCACAAGTGCGGAATGGACGCATGCGATGGTGAAGTAACTACCGTGACTCGCAGATTAAAAGTGCCACAACGATAAGCATTGTGCGCATGGGAGCATGGGCATGCGGTGGCCACTGACTTATCCGTTGAGAACGACATAAGATAAGAGGTGTAAACAGGAACGAGGTCAAATATGAGGTATATATCTTTGGTCATGAGCATTCCTGAGCTCTAGGCACTCCACCAAGTTATTTTACAACGAATACTAGTACTCGTGGTCGTAAATGAGCCACAACGCCCTGGTATTGCTGCATCCATCCATGGCAGCAAGCCACCCATACATCAAATCCCCCCCCTATGCTTGCTGGAATTCCAGCCAGCAGGAGTTGCACTGATTGCGCTGGCAGGTAGGAGAGAGGCTGCAATGGAGCAGGAAAAAGAAGAGATGAACGTATCAGCTCATCAACGCTTCGTATGGCTTTCCCTCTCTCTTTCAATCCCTGCACCAGACATCAGTAGAGAAGAGAGGTGCAATGTCAAACTTGAAATTGGCCGAACAATCTTATAAGCACCAGGCGTTGGAAAACTATTCTAATAGAAACACGATTCTGATGGATACATGCGATAGGCTATCGTTGAGCACCGGGCGGGCCGGGCCCGGCCCGGGTCGGGCCCACCCCGGGCTGCGCAAAAGCGGGCCGGGCTGGCCCGGCCCGACCCGGGCCATAGAAGGAAACTCTTGGCCCGAGCCCGCCCTCAAGGCGGGCTGGCCGTGCCCGGCCCGACCCGGGCTCTGCATGGCCCGACCCGGGCCGGCCCGGCCCGGCCCGGGTGCTGTCACAATCGCCCACAGGATGTATTTTTGCGCTCCGATGCGGCCCGGCCCGGCCCGGCCCGTACATGGGCGGGCCAAAATCGGGCTGGCCCGGCCCGCCCCGGGCCCACGTCAAAATTATGATGCCCGGTCCGGGGCATTTTTGGGCGGGCCCTGGCCCACTTTCATGCTCATCGCTATCGCTGATAGCGTCACTTGACTTTGATGATCCGCCGCCGTGGCAAGGTTGGTGCCACTGCTGAACCTGAACCCACAATGATCGTGCATGGCATTTTGCTCGTGCGGCATGAGCTCAACCAAAGGAAACACAGCGGAAACTCCGTAGAACTGTGTGACGCGCGCTGGCAACCAAGCCGAATGCATCCGCGTCATGGTGGTGCCATCGTGGTACGTGAGCCTCTATGGAACCTTTGCTGGAATGCATCATACTACCATCACCAAGGATCCAGAAGACATGAGATTTATCAGTGCAACATACAGGAAGATTAGGTGGTGGGGGTCGAGGGCGGGCCACTGATTGCTAAGTTCGTTTTGCAAGGATCCCAAAATTGTTGGCCCCCATACTATGTACTATTAGGTTCTGCTACATTCAATTTTGAAACAGGAGCTACGGCGCAGCGATGCACGGCGCGGCTGGCCTGGCCGGCCCAGCGCCTAAGGAGAGGCGCCGTAGCTAAGAAAGAATAAGAAGAGAGTCTTGCAGCAGAAGAAAAGGGAGCTAGGCTGGAGGGAGAAGCCCAGCTCTGGAGACGTCGATGAGAGAAGAGAGAAGAGAGAAGAAGACTTTCAAAAAGATAGGATTAAAGACTCCAAGGATGGGGTAGGATGAGATGATAATACAAGATTCAGAGATGGATATTTATGCTAGGAAGAAGGGATGGCGACTTGGGGGAAAACCGTATTCGCCAAGTTGGCATAACGCCTCGATGCCATGTCCTGCTGGATTCTAGTAACATCTAATCACTGACGAGGATAAGGGAAAGAGAGCTACCTAGGGAAAGGGAGGTTCCAACCGTTCGGGTATTCCCATGCACGCAGGCATGGCGAATCCCATCTTGTTACAAATTTGCACTAGCAACCAAAAAGTACATAGTACGGGGTTGAAACGACGAACCTTGGGAGTCGACGAACGGGACACAGCGGACTGGAGAAACCACGGCAAGACACGTCAGCAAGATGAGTAAGCTGAGCCGAATGAGGCGCCCCGCGCCGTCCGAAGTTGCCATCGAGGTGCAGCGATTCCAGGAAATGGTTGTTTTTAATCCGTTTGTGAACTTGTGTGCGTCACAGAGCCGAGCCTAATTCTACAGCCTAATATCTGTAGACGGTTAAACCAAGAAACTAGTGTTACCAGGAGTGCAGACGAGGAATCCGAGAGGAAGCTACTAGAGTAAGCTAGGAGATAAACTGGAAAGACAGTAGTAGGGAGATGAGGGTGGGAGTTGAGGGAGATGATGATGGCCCAGTTCCTAACCAAAATTTCTTTGCAGATCTCTTCCGTGGCTGCAACATTCCAACCAGGGCTGACGACGTGGAATTGGCGAGTTGCGACTTCCCATTTAGCCGTGGATTGTGGATCCCGACGGATGCGAATGGTTTGTCAAGTTAGGGCGTGTATGAATCTAATTGCAGTTCGAAAATGGGATCGAACCTGGTGTGGTTACCAGCTACGATTATTTTCGCAAACGTCGCGCACGAAACTCGAACCCCGAAAAGTGAACAAGATTCGAGTGATGAGCAAACGTGGTTTTGCACGTTGTAGTGAACGTGTGTGGTTCCAGGCACGTACGCGGAATGTGCGACACTCGCAACAAATTCGTGCGATTCGTTGACGTGTCGCGCTGTCGAGATGCCGATACTGGGTAAGCTACGCACCCTAGAAGCGGTTCGGCTCCCCCCCTACAGGCTCGAACTTGCAGATTCGCACTTGCGCGTGTGGTTGTGAGTTAACAACTTTTGACACTTGCGGTTCGAACCTTGCAAACACTCAAAATCGAGTCAGGTTCGCTTAATGTTCGCTTGCTACAATCGAGTCAAAACCTAAACTTAATACGAAAACTAGATTCACACACGCCCTTACCCCTATTTCGCGATTTCCAGGGTTACACGAGTTTCTATGGTGGCGTGGCATGCCAGCAGGGCGTGTCCAGCTACCAAAAATCCCGCCAGGTCTGCGAGTTAGACGAATCAGGACAGCAGCTGACCCTGTTTGACGAACACCGACCTCTTCATTCACTCTCGCAAAACGGAACGAATCGAAACCCTAATGGGCCCTACAGAAAAAAGAAAATCTCCTTTCATACAAAGAGCAAGTAACTTTATTGCGTTGGATTCTTGGCTCTAGCGACCAGGCGATTTGGCGACTTGTCGACATAGCTAACTACTGCTCAGCCCGTGGCCTACTGCTCTGCCCGCGACCTGCCTTATCGCGACCTTGAATCGTGAAGTGCTCAAAAACGATATGGTAGAGTTGATAGAGTTCCATCGTGCGAATTTCAAGTTGACTAGAAAAATCAGCAAGATGGCACTTGCATGTGATGCTCATTATTCAATCCGTACTAGCTACAGGATGTCAGAACGTGGTAGAACATTCAATTACGAGGGGGTTCGCACCTCCTCCCCACTCCCCATCCTTCTTCGCCCTTTCACAATCCCTCCTGCGCGACGGCGCCGCCGCAAAAGGCACGAATGCGCAATTGACAGCAGAAGGCATCAGAGAAAGAAACGGCGGCTCTATTCTGCCGCCCTCCCTCCCGCAGCCTCCTGCCAATTTCTTACTTTTCCTGGCCATGATTCTTCCACCTGCTCGTAGGATAGTTTTGTAGAAACATAAACTTCGCCCAGTAGGCGATAGTAGCACTAACATTGTTGGCGGTCATCCCTAATGTTTCCTACAGGCGACGGCGAGTCGAGCGAGTGTCACGTGCGTCGCCAGCTGCTTTGCGAGTGCCGAAATCGTAGGTTGCGAGAGGCGGCGCGAGCATCGCGCGCGTCGAAGCTGCACGAGCAGCTGGCGATGGCGAGTCAATATGACGAGCAACGGCACCGTCATCATCATTGCCGCTTTTGACAACTCTCAAAAGTCATCGACGCCGGTGCTGAAAGGATAGCTCATTCCCTGCTCCTTGCTCCCTCCCTGCTCCTTTCCCCATGTTGTTCCCTCCCTGTTCCTCACCAAATTTTGCTCCTTATCCTCATTCTGTACTTGTTGCGAGCAATAATAATATCCATTTGCCATGTACCCTTCCGGGCGGCCATTTCGTCTTCTTTGCCGTTGACCATTCTGCCCGATCAGGTGTGTCCTGCTGAGAGCACAATCGGTGTCCTGTTGAGGTGACGTATGGCTGGGTGCTGCATGGCTGGGTGCTGCATGGCTGGGTGCTGCATGGCTGGGTGGCGTTACACGCTTGGCTGGTCGTCACCTTCCCCGCATTACATGCCGGTCCCAAGCTGGACCAGTTTCCTTCCCCTGCCTTTAGTCGCAGTACTACCCGCAGCAGCGCGCTAGACAGCAACAGCGCTGTGCCCCTGTGCGTATAGGCAGCATAGGTGCCACCAGCCGTATGACTTGCAGCAGCACGCTAGGCAGCACTGGTGGGAGTATGTGGACTCCACATGGCAGCAGCATCGGTTTTACCACCAGCAGCAACGATAGAAGCTGCAGTGGCAGCAGAGGCGATGGCGACGACAGTTTATTGCTGCCAGGGGTGAAGCACATCGTGGCTGTGGCGTTCGCGAAAGGCGGCGTCGGCAAGTCCACCACTGCTGCTGCACCTCACTGAATCACCGCCTCACCGCCATGCCCCTCGCCGCTTCCTCTCCGCTCATCATATCCCACCCTCTCCTCCCCCTCCTCTCCACTGCCCTTCCCATCCGCCTTCGTTACCTGCCTATCCCCCTCCCCACCCCCCTCCTGTTCCCCCTCCCCACCCACCTTCCCTTCCTCTCTAACCCATCCCCCTGCCCACCCCCCCTTCCCGTCAGCCTCCCCATCCCCCTTTCCTTACTGCATGTCGACAGGTTCCCATACACGCTTTACTCACGCCTGCCATCTTCCACACATACCATTCACCCCATTCTATCACCCCGCTCCTTTCCTGAAATCCCTCTCGCCCCATGCACCTGACCGCGTGCCTCCCCCTGTATGCCTCTTCCACCGTGCCCCTCACCCCGCACCTCTCACTGCATGCCTCTAATCGCATGCCTATCTTCCCTTATCCCCCCATCCCCGCATCCCCCTCATCTAACCATCCCACATTCCCTCCTCCCCTCCTCCCCCCAATCCCATCGTCCCCTCCCCCTCTCCCACCTCTCCCTCTTCCCCCCACAGTGAACCTGGCAGTGGCACTCGCAAGTGGGGCTGCTGGACGCCTGACGTGTTCGCCCCTCACTGCCCAACCTGCTCGGCCTGCACATTGTCGCCTCCTCCCCCTTCTTGCCCGCTGGGCCTGGAGACTGCCGGCCGCCCCCTGCTCGCCTCGCCCTTCCCCCACGCATGCAGGCGCACGGCATGCTCTGCATGTCCGCTCACGTGGGCTGGGAGTGTGGGCTTCCTCATGCCTGCACACGTGGCGACCGTATGGCGTCGGCCCATGGTGATGTGATGGCGGCAGTGGAGAAGCTTGTAAGGGGGACGGAGTGGGGGGGATGGACGTGCTCGTGGTGGACATGACGCCCGGCATGGTGACGTGCAGCTCACCTTGAGCCAGCAGTCAGGCTGTCAGGTGTGTGGCAGATGGGATGGGATGGGTTCGGATGGGTTGCGATGGGAGGGAATGGGTTGGGATGGGAGGGAGTGACACGGGAGGGGAGGGGAAGGGAGGACATAAGATGGGATGGGTTGGATCGGCATGGGAGGGAAGGGAAGGAGGTGGGATGGAATGGGATTGGTTGGGATGGGATGGGATTGGTGCAGCGAGTAGAGGAGGAGAGGGGATGGATGGGTGGCATGGAGTGAGGCTAGCACAATGGAAGGTAGGGAGGGCATGACCGTGGGAGTGGGTGGATGCATGAGTGGTGGTGGCCATACTGCATGGCATGGCAGCAGGGGGGTACAATAGGGGAGGGGCAGCAGGGGAGGGGCGGCTCGGCTTCTAAGGCCACACTGCCTGCCCATGCTCTCAGCTCTGCTGGCGATGCCCATGCTCCCATGCGGTCACTTCCACCAGCAGCACGGGCGGATGAAAACGGTGGGGCAATGGATGTGGTGGTGGTGATGATGGCCATGGACGCCACCAGCAGTGCTGGGAGCACCAAGGCACTGGAGTGTGGTGGGTGCACAACCCCAGCTGCACATCCCTACTGCCTGCCCGCTCACCTGCCTAGCACTATGCCCGCTGACTCCCTCCCACTGCTGCATTCGCTTCATTTGCTCGTGGCGCTTCATTTTCCACTCTTCTGTCGCTCCTGTTCATTGCTCACCCTCACCAGGACTGGTGGTATCGACGCCGCTCAGGACCTCACACTGATGGATTTGCAGCGAGGAATGAATATGTCCTGACAGATCAACGTGCCGGTGGTTGATGGGGTGGTGGGACTGTGTGAGTGAGTGGAAGTCGTGTCAGCAAGTGAATGTACCTGTGGGCTGTTCGTACTCCAATGACCGGCTGCCTCACTTGTTGAGAGAACCTGGTGGAACTGGTCATGGCGGAGGTGGGTAGGGCGGGTACCTGGCAGAGGCAGGTTGCTCGAACAGGTGGTTCCTGGGGATTTGCAAAGCAATTCTTTTCAGTGGGTTTGTGGGAGAAGTGGTTTGGCTCTTTCATTTGTTCATGGCAAGGGTGGTTCGTGACAGAGGCTTAGGTGCTTGCCCCGTAACCCTAGACACACACACCTGCCTCGTGTCTAGTCGAATAGGTTGGCACGACGACCCATTTATTGCACTTACCTGGGCCACGATAATCTTGTTCAAATACAGGGATTTTACAATTTTGAAATCCAGCTTTGGCCTTATCTCGCCTGTTTCGTTCGTAGAGCAGGATGTCAAAGGATGTCAAGGTCGTCAGGATGAATTTGCCAGTGTCGTCTAACCTGTATACACGCCTACTATCCCAGCCTCCTATTTATATACAAGTCCGATGTAGGCTACGCAGCTGTACACAAGCAAAGCCTTGCCAAGCCAACTGCACACTCCTCCAATTGCCCTCACCTCATCTCCCTCCCCTCCATCACTCCCTGCCACCCTAACTGCCTATCCACCGATCCGCCTGCGCACATCCTCGCTGCAAACTGTGTCCCCATTTGGCAGTCGAAGAGATGTCAGCTTGGTCAGGGCAGTTAGCTTTTGCAGCCCTTCATCCGTGACTGCCGTCCAACCCAGAAAAAGTTCCTCAAGCCCTGCGAGCCTCCCCACATGCACCATACCGGCATTCGTCATACCCCTGCATTCGGATAGGCTTAGCACTTTGAGAGAGGAGAGGCCTATCAGGTGCAGCAGACCAGCATCAGTCACCTTGGAACCCCAGAGATAGAGGTGCGTGAGACAGGCCAAGGACCCAACCCCTTCCAAGGCACTGTCTGAAGCATCTGTGTGATCCAGGTTTAGCATCTCCAGTCTTGGCAGCCTGTAGAGGTGCTTGATGCCCTCTGCACTGAAGCCTGAAGAAGAGTACAAGCTAACGCTCGTCAGATGGGTCATGGTGGACACGTGGGCGAGCATGGCATCTGAGAGGCCGTGCAGATTCGTCAGAATCAGGTCGGTTCCCCGGGATGCTGACTTGATTTGCTGCAGGTGATGGATGAAGAGGGAATGAAAGATAAGGGTATGGTATGATCACCACCATGACACTCGCATAGAAAGCATGGCCTGTGAAACCATGAATAGTATGCCACACAGTTCAATGAGCACTCACCTCCCATGCGGTCTTCTGATCGCCGTCACTCTGGTTGATTCCCTGCTCCACAGTCATCCAATTCCTGTACGCTGCCAATTCCTCCATCGCCATTTTCAACTCCTGCACCTCCCTCCTCCTCTCCTCCCTCTCCCTTGCCAACGCTGCTCTCAGCTCATGCTCTCCCTTTCTGGCCTCCTCTCGCAGCTCTCTCAAATCCAATCCCCTCCTTCTCGCAGCCACATCCCATTGCTCTTTCATAGAATCCTTGTGTTCAGCCACCTCCCCCTTCACTGCTCCCACCTGCCCTCGCATCTCCCTCATCTGCGCCGCTCGTCTCCTCTCAGCCTCCTCCAACTGCACTGCAGTTGATTGCTTCTGCTCAGCCAACCGCCCCTTCACTGCTCCTAGCTCCCCTTCCACTGCTGCCAGCTCTGCAGCCATCTCTTCTCCTCTCTCCTCCACCTCTCCTCTCATCTCCCTCATCTCCGCCACTCGTCTCCTCTCAACCTCCTCCAAACCCCTCTTCCTCTCCTCCACCTGTCCTCTCAGCTCCCTCATCTCTACTGCTCGTCTCCTCTCAGCCTCGTCCAGTTCCCACTTCAATGCTGCCAGCGTTCTCTTCCTCTCTTGCACCTCTCCTCTCAGCTCCCTCAGGTCCTCTGCTCTTCGTCTCTCAGCAATATTCACCCGCTCTGCAATAGCATCCTGGTGTGCAATCAGCGCCCTCTCCCTCTCCTCCACCTGCCCTTTCATATCCCTCATCTCATCCACGCGTCTCCTCTCAGCCTCCTCCAGCTGAAACGTACTTCACTGCTTGTGCTCAGCAAGCTCCCCTTTCACTGTCGTCAACTCCCCCTTCACTGTAACCACCTCCCCGTTCATTGAAGCCAATTTTGCAATCAGCGCCCTCTCCCTCTCCTCCACCTGCCCTTTCATATCCCTCATCTCATCCACGCGTCTCCTCTCAGCCTCCTCCAGCTGAAACGTACTTCACTGCTTGTGCTCAGCAAGCTCCCCTTTCACTGTCGTCAACTCCCCCTTCACTGTAACCACCTCCCCGTTCATTGAAGCCAATTTTGCAATCAGCGCCCTCTCCCTCTCCTCCACCTGCCCTCTCATCTCCCTCATCTCCACCACTTGTCTCCTCTCAGCCTCCTCCAGCTGAAACGTACTTGAATGCTTGTGCTCAGCAAGCTCCCCTTTCACTGTCGTCAACTCCCCCTTCACTGTAACCACCTCCCCGTTCATTGAAGCCAATTTTGCAATCAGCGCCCTCTCCCTCTCCTCCACCTGCCCTTTCATATCCCTCATCTCATCCACGCGTCTCCTCTCAGCCTCCTCCAGCTGAAACGTACTTGACTGCTTGTGCTCAGCAAGCTCCCCTTTCACTGTCGTCAACTCCCCCTTCACTGTAACCACCTCCCCGTTCATTGAAGCCAATTTTGCAATCAGCGCCCTCTCCCTCTCCTCCACCTGCCCTCTCATCTCCCTCATCTCCACCACTTGTCTCCTCTCAGCCTCCTCCAGCTGAAACGTACTTGACTGCTTGTGCTCAGCAAGCTCCCCTTTCACTGTCGTCAACTCCCCCTTCACTGTAACCACCTCCCCGTTCATTGAAGCCAATTTTGCAATCAGCGCCCTCTCCCTCTCCTCCACCTGCCCTTTCATATCCCTCATCTCATCCACGCGTCTCCTCTCAGCCTCCTCCAGCTGAAACGTACTTCACTGCTTGTGCTCAGCAAGCTCCCCTTTCACTGTCGTCAACTCCCCCTTCACTGTAACCACCTCCCCGTTCATTGAAGCCAATTTTGCAATCAGCTCCCTCTCCCTCTCCTCCACCTGCCCTCTCATCTCCCTCATCTCCACCACTTGTCTCCTCTCAGCCTCCTTCAACTCCCCCCTGGTTGCTGCCAACTCCCTCCGTGTCTCTTCCAGCTGCACGCCAAGCACCCTCATCCTCATCTCCATCTCATCTTTCAGCTCGTGTGCTCCGGCCGTACTTGCCATGACTGTCGCAGCAGCCTCACCCATTCTGGCACACTTCCTACCCATGGCAAAACACGTGGGTGTGGCAGCACACAAGCGCACAACACAACAGGGTGTAGCAGCATCACGCGAATGGCGTACGGTACAGACATGGTTAGGAGGAGATGTGGAGGTCGGTTAGCAAGTCACATGGAAGGGCTCAGCGAGGCAGCATGCAAATGCAAATGCACTTGCTCTGCGTAATGAGAAATATGCAAGCAAGTGCCTTCGCAAAGGCAGCATTGCTCGGCGTTGAAACTGGAGAGGCATACAGCATGACAGCGTTGTGACACATAAAAAAACAAGATAAGCCAAAGGAGGAGCATACGGACTTATACGGACGTAGAACAATAATGGGACTAGTAATGGGACAAATGGACCGGACAAGGAAGGACGAGTGGCATGCTCACATGGGGCTGTGCCAAAGAGGGACGATTCCACGTGGCTGTGCCATGGTGAGGGCGATGAAGGGAAGGCGGGATGAGAGATTGAGAGAGGGGAGGAGAGAGGAGCATGCGAGATGGAGAAAAAGGGTGCAGAAAAGGGTGTGGGATAGGAATAGTGCGGAAGGCAAAAAGAGTGGGAGAAATGATTGGCAGAGGGGAAAATCTGCAGTGGTGGAGGATAAATAGAGCGCACGGCATACCACTAGGCACTTGCTCGCATTTTCCAGCTTCATCAGCCCAGCCGTCACAACCAAGCCCTGATTATACACCCATGCTCTGACTTGCATGGGAGTCACGCCCATCCTCCACAGCAGTGCCATGAGCGTAGCCATGGCAGACCACAGCACGAGTAGATCAACTGCACCCGGATACTGCATATGTGGAAGAAGAAGGGCGTAAGCAATGTGCGCGTACGAACACGAGGGGCGGCAATACGTGATAGAATCTTAAAGGTGGCAGCAAAGTTGGTTGGTTTCAAAGCAAGCAAGTTGGTACCTGCAAAAGCATCAGCCACCCTAACTAGCACGCACCAGAGTGAGGAGGGAGTGAAGAAGCACGTTGAGATCGTGGGCATGAGAGTGAGGTAGGCTCGTGGCGTTCGGACACGTGGCAGTGGCGTTGGCCTGAGAGGCAGACAATACATACATGCAATAGAAGGGGCATGCACACGCAATAGAAGGGGCATGCACACGCAATAGAAGGGGCATGCACACGCAATAGAAGGGGCATGCACACGCAATAGAAGGGGCATCCACACGCAATAGAAGGGGCATCCACACGCATACACACCCGCACACACATGCACAACACGCATAAAGCACTCAAATTATGGTAACATCAGAACAAGTAAGAAATCTGTATGCAGTCAATCATAAACGACAGAGGCATAAGCGTTGCTCACTTGCTCGGGGGGCGGAGAGGGGAGCATGAGAGGATGGATGATGACTTGCTGGCTGCTGGTGTCACGTGGAAGCTGCAAAAATCAAGAGAAGGAACATGCAGAGCACGGATGCATGCAACCCAACCCAGAATGCATGCATGAGTGCCACGAAACACGGCAGCTGAGACTCTCGAGGCAATGCGACTTTGAGTGTATGAACCGGTGGACAGGACAAAGAGCAGCCAGCTTTGACAGGACATGGGCATGAGACATGATTATTCGCTATGTTGGAATGAGCATGGAGTGGTGAGCATGGAGTGGTGAGCATGGAGTGGTGAGCATGGAGTGGTGAGCATGGAGTGGTGAGCATGGAGTGGTGAGCATGTGAAGGAGTGGCCAGCATGCATCAGATGAGACATAACCATCCTCTGCCACAGCAAGTCCCTCACGTCCTGTGCGATGATGGCACGCCAGGCATCCCTAGCAAGTGGCGTGATGCTGGTGAGTGTGATGGCCGTGGCGAGAAGCAGGGCCACGAGCAGTCCTTGCAGCAGCATGGCCGTTGCTGCAGTCATCCGAGGCATGACTGATGGGGGGAGACCAATGCAAGGCGTGCGCCTGCACAGTGAGGTGCGGCAGAAGCAAAGGAGGGAGGGAGGCAGTGGCAGGAAAAGTGGGGCGACAAGGCCAGGGATGGACAGATGGAGCACACAGGCATGCCAGATTGTGAGGCTAAGGCGAGGTACGAGCCTTTGGAGATGAAACACAAAGACATCAATCCAAAGCGATTTTAAAATTGACCATGATGGAAAGGACACACGTGACCACAAGAGCGGGAGGGAGGGGAACGGAGGGGGGAGGAAACGGGCAGAGCAGGATTAGAGTGGAGGGAAAGGAGTAGGAGACAGCAGGAGGAGAGGGGACGGAGGAGATGGAAGGGGGGGACGACGTAGGGGACGAGGAGAGCAGGAGACGGCAAGAACAGGATATAGGTGAGGAGCAGACCGGGTGGACGGTGAGAGCAGATCAGGGAGGCCGTACCTGGAGTGGGTGAGGTGTTCCAAGCCCTAAACCCTGGGGTGTTCCAAGTAGCAGCAGCAAGCTACCAGATGCGAGCGAGCCGCTTGCTCCTCCGAGAGAGTGACAATCTTGAGGGAGGTGAAGGACGGGCGAGGGGGTAATGGAGCAGTGAGGCTACAAGGGGTAGCAGGCGGCAGTAGCGAGGTACCACGGGAATGGAGAGGAGGTGCACTAAAATGAGATGATGGGGATGATGAAGGAGGGTAGGAAGCGAAGCGGAAGGAGATTGAAGGCGGAGCACAAGTTGGAGCTGGGCTTGGTGAACGGGAAGGACGATGAGCCAGGAAAGTGAAGAAGCTCGAGCGGAGGAGGAGGAGGCGGGGAATGGATCAGCTCGAAGCCCCAATCGCCTTGCAGTTGCACGACTCTCGCCCTTCACCCTTGGCCTTCGCCGCTTTCACGCGCCGCGGGAAATTGCTCTCCGTGTCGTACACGGCACGGCGGTCAGTGATCGCAGCAGTGATGGGCAAACGACGGCATGATGCTTCGCTTCTTTGTGCCACCCAATCCCGACCGACCCTTTACACCCGCTCGCCACTTGCCGGAAACAGACGCCCCCCTCTCTTTCCCCCCGTCGCTTTCACGCACTGTGGAAAATCGTTTTCCATGTCGCACGCGACGGTTAGTGATCGCAGGATTGCTGGGCAAACGACGGCATGATGCTTCGCTTTGCTGACCCAGTCTAAATCCATACACCCCCTCGGGCCTCGTCATTTGGCGGAATCAAACGCCCCCCTGTCCGCCCCGACCTCATCCCGCAGTGCATGTCTTGGTTGTTGGAGGGCCCTACGACAGCAAGGGCCCTCACGAAGCTGTTGACTCAGTCGTATGCGGTGGGCGACTACTAGCGTTGACAACACCAACTCGGGAAAGACGGTGGTCACGCATTGACTAGCAGCAGCTGCGATGGAGCTTGTGCTAGTCTATGGGAGTCTTGCGAGCCTTCCTTGCAAGGCACGCCACCTCCTAGCAAGTTTGTGGGTGTCTTGTATGGTGTAGCCGAGTTGGGGTTGGTGTTTGGTGGTGTGACGTGTTTGGCGAACCATTCCGCTGCTGAGTCAGGTTGGAATTGGCCGAGGCGCGGTTCACCCACCCTCGCGACACTTTCGTGTGGGTTGGGTTACTGCGCAGCGCCACGGCAACTTTGTGCAACTCTCCAAACTCTCCCGTAGCCTATATTTGCTTGTGTGTTTGCTTGTGTGTTCAAAATATATTCTATTTTCCTAGTGAAGTCCAAACGCTACTTCAATTCTCACTAAGTCCTTAGACGCGAACGCTACCGAAACTCTACCAAGTTGCTGACGCAACATTTCCCTAGCAGAAACTCTCTCGTTATCGCTACGCTCTATAATATATTCCTTCATGGTGCGGTGAGCGTGGAACGAACACGCATAGATTTCCGTCGTCATTGATATTTGCGTTCGTATACTCGCCTTGGCGTGCGGCGTTAGTGAAGGGCGCTTATTAATTTAAGTTGAACCTCTCTTGTTTTCCCTCCAGTTACGTTCTCGGACCCAAGGATAGGGCGTTTGGTAATTTATTACCACTCGTCTGAGGACCCTTGTGAGGTGACCCCGAGACGAGGGATTTAAGGAAGGGGCAATTTATTTTAATTTGTGGCACCTTATCGAGACGTCGTAAAGGATGAGTACGGAGGAGGCGGACGTTGAGGCCGTTGATTTTCGCGCACTAGAGGAGGATCTCGCAGTGCGTCGTTCTTGTGGTGAGCTTAGTAATTTAGATTACGAGCTCATGTTGGAGGGATTACGCTCTCGTCAGCGTCGCGATCATCCCTCGCCACGTGTAGAGCAAGCCGCGGGAGGAACTAGTGCGTGGGATATGGCTGTCGATGGCGGAAATAGCGATGACGAGCAGCTTGATAGGTTGATGTCGCGTGGGGTCCTGCGAGGACCAACTCGGTTTAGTACGGCTAGCGTCGGCGGTGTACAGGAGCGTGTTCATCGTGCGGCAGCGTCACGAGAGCATGCGAATGTAGGACGGCGGAGCGTTGCTGGAGGAGGGAGTGCGGAGGAGTACGATAGTGGGGAAATGCCGGGCGTTACCCCGATTGGATCGATGTCGAGGGACGAGGGAATAGCCCCCAACTATGGCTTCTTCAAATTCACTCCAGACAAGATCGTCGTCCCTAGGCCGTTAGAAGGACGTCACGACCTGTCGACGTG